GGAGTGGTAAAATACCTGGGGTCCAACAAGCCTGGCCCCAGTTGTGAATCCTGGCTCTAACACCTAATAGCTGTGGGACCTCAAATAAGCCAATTAACCTCTCTGGGCTTCAGTTCCCCATCTGAACAATGACTATGTTTGTCTGGGTAGCATTTATCGGGCATCCTATTCTGGGCCTAGAGCTTTATATATGTCCTAATTTAGTCTATTGAAGTTGACAGCATTTTTCAGATATCACCACAATGGTGACTTGGTGATATCAGGATGAAGACTTTGAGGGACTAGCCTGAGATCACATGGTAGAGCTTCGATCAAACCCACAGCACCATCTCCTCCCACTTTGACCACTCCTCATGCCACCTTGCAGTAACCAGTCCCAGCGCAGCTGCTGTGATTCTCGGAGACTGGTGACATGTGCTCGGGGCTTCACCCAGAGCCTGGCACACAGAGGACACTTAAAAACCTTAGATCCTACAGTGAGGCCATCCCACTGCTCTGGATTCCAGCAGGAGCCTCATGTCCACTCCCCTGTCCCCCACCCCATCAAGGAGGTTGTACCAGATGGTCAGTGCCAGCGTGGGATTGCCAAACTGCAACCTGAGTGGGGGACCCCTGGAGGCAAGCATTCAGCCATGTCCATGACCTCCCCAGGGAGAGCCTGTTGCCCTGTTGGCCTCAGAGCTCCGCCCCCTGAGGAAGGGCTGGAGGGGGACGGGCAGGGAGGGCCAGGAGCAGAAAGGGGGAGACAGGTCTCAACCCAGTGGGCAGAGTAGATGTTCCAATGACGGGTCCCTGGAGAACATGCCTAGGAGTCCTCCCTGGAGGGAGCCCCTGCTCTTCCCAAGCTTTGGAGTCAGGGAGGCTGGGGTGCATGTACCTGCTCCAGCACATCCCTGGCAGAGATAAGTGACATACCTCACCGGAGGTCACATAGCTGCTAAGTGACCAGCTGGGATGCAAACCCAGTCTGCATGGTGAGTCACTTGCCTGGTCCCCTTTGCCTCCTGCTCATCAGGCGTAGAGATCATCCTCATCTTCCAAAATGAAGCAGAGTCCAGAAACACAAAGATTTTCCTGTAGCTGGCTCCCCGGCCAGCCTGCTCAGCCAGAGTCCCTGTAGTACCCCCGACCTGGCCAGCAGGACCCAGAAGAGCTCAGGAAGAAGGTGCAGCTTGCAATGTTCTATTCCTTCCTGCCCCTTGACCGAGGATGGCATGTAAGATAACAAATGTGGGCCGACACGGGCCACAGTGGGGGAGACCCTGCCCCACCCAGGGAAGGGCAGACAGTTTCCAGATCAGATCAACGGGAGCAGGCCATGCAGAGCCAGGGAGGCAAGGAGAGCAACGGCTTCTCCACAGGAGGGGCCATCTGCCCTTGGCATGCAAGGTTGGGCAGGCTTGGGCTGAACACAGGGACAGAGACGGTTCAGACAGAGGAAGAGCCCTTGCAGGATCGCAGAGGAAGTGGGGGGCGCAATGATCTGTCCCAAGTGCTGAACCCAGGATGCAGATGGGGGAATGGGGGAGGCAGGCAGGATAGAGAGGGAGTCTAGTTAATCCAGTGGCCACAGGGGCCACTGAAGGGTTTGGGTGGTGGAGAGGGATGGGTTCCATGTGAGTGAGAGTCCTGGAGGGTCCCCATGAGCTTCCTTGGGGTTGCAGGAGCAGCTTGCTTGAGCAAGGCTGTGGCCTGAGAACGCAGGGACAGGGATGACCTGAAGGACCAACATTGCTAAAGCTGGATCACAGGCAGGAGCCTGGACGGGGCGGGTGGATGCCTGTGTGAGCGGGTGTGTGGGGTGTCCCCAGCCCCTTCTTGCCCTTCTAGAAGGAAAGCTCCAGGTGGCAGCCTGGCTGAGGTTGAAACAAAAACTCAGCCAGGGCAGCCGCAAACCTGCCAGGTGGGACATCCCCCTCTTCCAAAGCCACCCTCTTTGGACTACTTGTCCCATGTCACTGGGGAACTCAGGGTGGTGTGTCACTTGTTCTGATGACACAGATGACAGTCAGGGGGTTCGAGCAATTAGAAAGCAGGTCCAGGATCCAGCAAGACAATCCCCCAGGGGAAAAGAAATGGCTTGTGAATTGCATCATTAAAAAAGAAATCGGTGCTAGGCAGAGGCTGGGAATCGGACTGAGTCACATGGACGCCTCCTGATGGACGGCCAGCTGCCAGCAACACCGATGCAGCCACAGTGACCTCATTTGGAAAGCAGAGACCCCCCTTCACCTTAATGTTTTAAACTCTGATTTTTAGGAAAGCAGAGAGGAGGAGGAAAAGATCCTAAGAGTGTAATTGCCCATTTGGGCAGGAGGTGGTGTGACTGGCAGTGTAAGGGGGAGGGTGCTGAGGTCAGGGTTTCTCTGAAGCTGTCTCAGCCTCGAATTTGTGATCCTTTCTATGGAGTCCATACCCCTGCCCCACCCAAGGGCTGTAGCCTCCCTCTCCCTTCCCCCACCAGCACCATGTGGGCATGTGACAGGCTTTTCTCTGTTTCCGCACACCATCCCTATAGGTAGGTCCTGTTATCCTCTTTGATGACGGGGACACTGAGGCTCAGAGAGATGCATTCCTTTGTCCAAGATCACTTCCAGAGTCCCTGACTGTCGGACCCCGGAGGGATGATACTAAACGGGCTCCGGACACCTGTGTCGCCAGACTGGGAGGTGGGCAGCGTGAAGGAGTGCGGTGGGCGAGGGCGACCACTGAGGAGGTGAAGGCTGAGGGAGCACCCAGCAGGGCAAGGGAGGCTTGGCGGGAAACCGCGCTCACACGTCTCTAACCAGCTTCCGAAGGCAGCTGAGGCCCCGGGGCACCGACGGAGACCAGGCGGCGGAGGGGAGGGAGAGGGAGAGAGTCACCCCAGAGGAGGGAGCCCAGCGCCGTCGGGGTGGCTGGGGTGCAGCGCTGGCCCCGGCTGGACTGGGAGAGCGCGGCTCCCTCAGCGCCCCCTCCACACACCCCAGTCCCCTGGGCGGCCTCGAAAGGGACAGGAGGGCACTGCCGCCACCTCTGCCTCGACTCGGGGAGTTTCGAGCCTTCTTCCCATGGTAGCGGTGGGGTCCCCAGCCTGCGAGACCACCCAGAGATTCAGAGACAGAGAGACAAAGAGATACTGGGTCGCAGCGGGAGAAGGCTAGCGCCGCGGAGGCGGGTGGGTGACAGGCAGGACCCCAGAGGGCGGCGAGGCAGTGTCAGAGCGCGGAAAAGTGAGCGTCCAGTGGAAAGTGGGCGGACGAGGGGTCAGGAGCAAAGCCAAGAACCGAGGGGACACGCGAGGCGAGGAGCAGAGGCGGCAGCCAGAGTGGCTGTGGGACCGACGGTCAGGTCCGAGGGCCGGGGAGGGAGCAGCACCCTCACCTCCAGTCTCCGCGCCCTGCGCCCCGCCCCTGGGCGCGCCAGGTAGCCCACCTTTGTCCGGGCGCGCAGCCAGGTGAGGCGGGAGGGCGGGGCCAGGGGCGGGCCGAGGCCGTGCCTTACCTGTCCGGCCAGCGGGGAGGGGGCCGAGGGGCGCGAGGCCGAGCGCCTGCGGGAGCCGAGCGCAGCCGAGGGACGAGCGGCGGAGCCAGGACGGCGCGGAGAGGTGCGCGGGCGGCGGGAGGCTGTGCCCAGGCGGAGCGGGGCTGGGAGGAAGGGGGCGGGGGCGAGCGCGCGGGGAGGGGCCGGGGGAGGGGCCGGGGAGGGGCGCCGGCAGCGGGCTCGCTGCCCCCAGCCGAGGGGCAGCCCTGGCCCGGCCCGTCCCCGCGCGCTCCCGGCCGGCGCGCCCTCGCCAGCTGCGCTCGGCGTTCGGGGCCCGCTCCCCAGAGGCCCAGCCGCCGCCGCCGCGAGGGCGCGGGGCAGACAAAGGAGGCAGACAAAGGCGGGCGCAGCCCGGCGGTCGTGCGGGCACCGGGCGAGGCGGGCCCGCTCCTCCGGTGCGTAAGAGCCGCCTCGGCGGGGCCCCGGGGCGCGTGGGACGGGAGGGGCGCCGGCAGCGGTGGCGCCTCCGTAGCGGCTCCGCGGGGAGCGGGCGACAAAGGGCCACGGCGGGGGGTCCCTGGCGGACCCCAACAATGGATCGAGGTTGCGCGCTCAGCTGCGGCCGCGTCTGGCCAGGCAGGGGCCGGCGGGTCCCCAAAAGGATTATTCCGCCTAGGCTGTCAAATGGGACGGAAGAAATGCCCCGGGCGGGGGAGGTGGGACGGGGAGCGGCGGGGCCTTTGTGGCCTCGGAAAGTGCGCGTAGTGGGGGTGGCTTTCGGAGAAGTCTCCTTCTGGGGCGCGCGGAGGGTCTTCCAAGTGCGGCCACCTCACCTGGGGAGCTGACGGCGCACCTGCGGCACCCGCTCCCGCCCCAGCAGGGAAGGAAGAAATACGCTCCACACACACACACACACACACACACACACTCACAAACACACATACACACACGCACAAACACGCGGTCCGCCTTTCGCCACGCCTCGTCCAAAGCCTTCCTGAAGCGCCTCAGTTCGGCCCAATCAATCGGGACAAAGCCAGGGCTTGGAGCCGGCTCATCTATCACCGCGCGGGGCGCCAAGTCCTGACGACCCTGGGAGTGCGGGAATGCCGGATTATGGGTCCCACGGTCCCCATAACTCACAACGGGGTCAGCGGGGACCTCCGGCACTGCAAAGATCAAAGAGCAGTGGGGCGGGACCCTGGCACGTGGAAAGCGGCGGCATCGCTGGGCGCCCAGAGCTTGCAGAGCGGCTTCCATTTCTCCAGAGCGTGACAAATCACAGCTTAGAGGTTTAAGAACTCCGCTCTGCGGTCAGGCTAGATGCCTGGGTGCCTCTTCTCGGCCATCCTGGGCAAGTTGCCTAACTTCTCTGAGCTCATCAATTTGCCCCTCTGGGGGTTCAGGACTAGAGGTGGTGGCCTGTATAAGAAGATAATATTCCTAAGGCCCTGACCCATAGGAAACTTCCAGAAAAATGAGTTGCCATTGTTATTGTAAGATTAATATCATAATGGGCACTAGAGGGTTTGGTGAGAATACTGTTTATTCACTGCAAGGCTTGAATCATTAATTCTGTAAGAATCTATTGAACACCTACTACGTGCTGGCCAGCACAAAAATGCAGTGGTAAATGACCTGGACAAGAATCAATCCTTGCTCTGTGGAGCTTAAGTTCTAGTGAAGGAGGCAGAACATAAACAAGTTAGCAAATAATCAGGTGGTGGTTAGTGCTAGGAAGACAAAGCACATTTAGGAAAGAAAGCATAAGAGGTTTCCAAGAGGTATGGTTTTACATAAAATTGTCAGGAAAGCCATCTTTGGCAGTTGGGTTGGTTTGTTCATTTCGTAAAGAAAATGAAACATGTGACTGAAGGAGAATGCAGTTCAAAGGAACAGCCAGTGCTAAGGTCCTGAGGCAGGAGAATGCTTCATCTGTTCAAGGAAGGGATCTTGTGCAATAAAGTCAGACAGGAAGCTGGCACCGGATCAGATGAGTCTGTGAAGGCCATGGTAAAGGCTCTGGGTTTTTTTAGTTTGAATTGGAGGGCTGTGAGCACAACAGAGACATGCTCCTACTTGGGTTTTAACTGATTGACTGATTTCTAAACTTGAGACTAGATTTCAGTGGGATAAAGGTAAGGGCGGCAGGATTCTTCTCTTCAAGGAGAAAGCTGTGGTATGGCATTTATGTACCAGATGATAAACCCTGGAGACTCTGGCTCCAGGGCTGCTGTAGCTGTTTGGTGATCTTTTGATAAGCTTGAACTGTGTTCTCTGGGTTCTTCCAAAGCGATACTGTGGGGAAATGGTGGATGTTAGGAGAGACCCAGACTCCTTTCCCAGCCAGGTTTTGGTGACTTTGGCCCTCAGTTTCCCCATCTATAACCTGGGGCAGTCAATGGCCAAAGATCCATCAACTGGGGAGAGAGTAAGGGAAATGTGGTGTATTCATGAGGGAATAGTATTCTGCCATAAAAAGGAACAAAGTATCAATACATGACACAACCTAGATGAACCTGTGACCTTGTGCTAAGACCTAAAAGGCCACAAAATCTATGATTACACTTATAAGAACTATTCAGAACAGGAAAGTCCACAGAAGCAGCAGGTGGATTGGTGGTGGCCAGGGGCCAAGGGAAGGGAAGGCAGGGCCGGCTGCTGGTGGGGAAGGGGAATTTGGTTTTCGGGTGATGAATTAGGTGGTGGTGATAGATGCACGACTCTGCCTGTACTAAAAACAGCTGAATTACCCACAGAAAAGTCTGAACTTTGGCTTGTGAATTATATCTCAACAAAGATAGTATTTTTTTTTTAAAGTGGTAGTTGAGCTGAATCAGTGATTCTTGTGGCCCAGGATGGCTTCAGAGGATCCGAAAACTCCGAAAATCGTGTAAGATATTTAGCTTCCTGGTGCATTTCTTTGAGAAGAGAGCAAAGTTTAAGAAGAGATGATCTTAAGGTCCCCGTGACCAACGAGGGGTCAACACCACTGGGAAGTCAGCAGAACCCCCCAGAGGGCCCGGCGTGGGTGGGCTTTGGTCTGGCTGAGGTGTTGGAAGCTGTCCAGTGTTACTGGAACAAGATCAGGGTTCTGGTCATCAGTGGACCCCAAGATCAGGTGCAGCTGTGCAGGCCCAGCCTCACTGCAGGCCAGGTGAGGGAGGAGAGGAGTGTCTGTGGGTCCCTGCCCTCATCTTTAGGCTTCTCATGCCGCAGGGATGTGTGTGCTTCCCTAGGTCACCACGGGTGCTGCCGCCTTGGGAAGTAGAAACCGGGAGGTGGTGTAGCTATGAATGGTTAGGACATTGGCTCGTACAAAGTGGTTGTTCTGGGGACTTAAATAGTGAGCGTGGGTCTTAATATCATTGTCATAATGGCCATCGATTGAGCATTTATACACCAGGCACTATGCATTTTATGTTTTAACAAAGAGTATCCCATTAACTCATCCCTATGGAATTGACCCATTATCCCATTTTTCAGACCAGCAAACTGAGGTTCAGAGAGAGAAGGGCCTTGCAGTTGGTTACGGAGCAGTGCTGGGGAGAGAAGCAGGCCTGGTAGGCATAGGGGGCGCTGTGGGGAACATGGCAAAACCCTGCTTTGTTTTTGAAAACAGCTCTTCTCTCCACATCGCCACCTACAGCCCAGGCTCTGAAATCAGAGCTGTTTGCTCCTTACCCAGACCACACAGGGCCTGAGCCAGGCAAGTGCTGATGAGCTGCGTCCACCAGGATTCCCTTCCTCCAGCAGGCTTTTTTTTTTTTGGTGGGGGTACTGGGGATTGAACTCAGGGGCACTGGACCACTGAGCCACACCCCCACCCTATTCTGTATTTGACTTAGAGACAGGGTCTCACTGAGTTGCTTAGGACCTCACTTTTGCTGAGGCTGGCTTTGAACTCGCCATCCTCCTGCCTCAGCCTCCTGAGCTGCTGGGATCCTTCCTCCATGATTCTTTGGTCCACGCATTTAACACACTCCCTGGGCACCTGAATTTGGCCAGGTCCTGGGTAAGGTGCTGAAAGACTGAGTGAGGCTGGGTCCCTGTTCAGGAGATATTCCAACTGCCTAGGCCTTGAGCATCAGTGGGATTGTCTCCAAGCTGTGTGCCTCACTCACTATGTCTGTCCCCTTCTCCTGGTGTCCTGGGAACCTCAGGCGGCATAGGATAGCGAATCCATCCTGGGACCAGCGTCAGGGCATGGGAGTGAGCTCAGAGCATCTTGGGGTCTGGAGACTTCACTGGGTCTTGTTTTACCAGTGGCTTATCCTGTGATTGTTCAGTGACCCCAGCACCCGCGCCGCCTGGGTGGGCCCCAGTCTTGGCTGGCTGCTGCTCAGCCTGTCTTGTGCTCACCTGCTCTGTTTCCATGTAGATGTCTCTTGGGAGTGTTTCCCCTTCATCCCCTTGCAGAACCCCCAGGGGCCTGCTCCAGGCGGCAAATAAGCTCTTTCTCCCCCTTCACTCCACTCTTCCCTCCCAGCTGTCCTCCACTGTATTGTCATTATGGTGGAAAACATGCAAATAACTTTGAAAAACAGTCTCTCCCGCAAAGGGGTATTCAAAAATGTAATAAACTAACCCCATGATGTAATCTGGGTCCCATGGCCATCCATCACGCTGATACAATTAAGATATGAAGGACCAGATGGCCCAGAGACCCACGCACAGGTCCCCTGATGGTCCCATGCTGCATCGGACCCCTGCCCTTCCTCCTGCCCCGTCCCCAAGGAATTGTTCCCCTAAGACTGTCACGGCCTGTCACCAATAAAAAAGCTGCCAGGAGCAGCCTCCAGAGAGGGGTAAAGAAGGACCCTCTCGTTTTCCACAGTCAAACATTTGAAATCAGAAGGAGCCCAGGTTTGTAAGCCCCAGAGCGGCTCAGCCAGTTCTGTGTGGAAACGGCCCTCTCCTACGTGGTGTGATATGGCAGAGTCCCCAAGCATTGCTGTGCCCAAAATGTGCTGCCAAGTGTATCAGTTCCTGAAGCAAAATCATCTGTCCTTTGGGTTAAACATTGATATTTTACAAAATGCAAACTACAGTAGCAATTTCCATACTTCCTAGGGCATCCAGGCCCCTGGGGAGCTTGTTAAAGGGCCAGTGCCCTGCTGTATGCCCTGATCAGGTAGGTCACGGGGGGCTGGATGGCCTTGTGTTTAATAGGCTCCCTGGGGATTGGATGCAGATTTCCTAAGTCTGCATTTTGAGAATGCTCTGCTGCCATCCCTGGCTTAATCAGCCAGGTCACTGATCCCCTTCCCACTAGAAGTAAGTAGTTGCAGGTTTGAAGGCACCTGGGCGGAGCCATCCAGTAATGAGCTGCACAGGGTCAAACCTCCTGGCTAGATCTGTGTGCCAACAGATGGGACTCCCAATAATCTCTTACATCCCTGAGGTCAAGACAAAGTCCTTTTGGCTTCTGGTCCTGACCTGTTATTGCGCATGACTCCACAGCAGCTTCTCTTCTCTTAGATTTCCTATCTGTAAATTAAAGGGGTATATTATTAGTCAGCTTTTGCATCCCTGGGACCAAAATACCCAACAAGAACAACTTAGAGGAGGAAAAGTTTATTTTGGGTCAGTCCATGGTAGGCTGAGTCCATTGCTCTTCCAAGGGGAGGCAGAGCATCCTGGCTGAAGGGCAGGAGGCTGAAGGGTGGAGGAAAGCTGTGCAGGCCTTGGGCAGCCAAGAAGCAGAGCAGGGGACAAGGGAAGATGAACCCTTCCAGGGCAAGCCGCACCTGCCTGCTGTCACCATCTAGTCATTCAGTCCATCCAAACTAGGACAGACTGATTAGGTTACAATGCCCACAATCTAATCATTTCACCCCGGAATATTCCTGTATTTACAAAGGAGCTTTTGGAGGACAGGTCATATCCAGATCCTAAGAGGGGAGACGTGAATTGGTTGAAGCTCTCGTGTCCAAATAGACATCAGAGCTGTGTTTGTATCCCACCTGTGTGATTTTGGTGAATTGAAGGAACATCTCTGGGCTTGTTTGCCATTCACAAAGTGGGACTGTAAAATGGATACTTAGCTCCTAGGACTAATGAGGGAATTAAAGAAATCAGGGGTGCTCAATCCATGATGGTGATTATTTTAATGTTATCACCTCTGAGGGCCTTTTCAGTTCTTCCAGACTTTGTCCATGCCTCTAGGGGACTCCAGAGCAGTAAAGTGTAAAGGCAGAAGGCACCTCTGCCTTCCTCCTGCAAACTGTGTGATGGACAGCTTTTTTCACCCCTAATCCCAACCTCATTTGGCTCATCTGCAGAAAGGGGACAATCCTAGCAGGCCACGTGGAGTTATTCTGAGGACTTTCTGAAACAGTCCAGGAATCCAGTGCCTAGCACTAGGCTGGGACTTTACAGGGGCCAGATACTGTTAACAAGTAGGAAGTTTTTTCCTCTTGGGCGGTCAAGCCAGACTGCACTTAGGTCCAGGGCAGTAAGTGGTGGGGCGGGGCTTCCGGTGCTCCCTCTTCCCCGCCCCCCAAGCCGGCCGATTCTCAGTTGGGTGGCTGAAGGTCTTGGGGATAGTGACTCTGAGGTTAGCAGCAGATGTCGCTGTCCTCAATCTCCACCTATGTCCCGTACCTGGCTCTCACCAGAAACTCCTACCTTCTTTCTGCGCTTCCCAAAGCAAGACACACCCTGGAGGGAAAATACCTAGCAACCAGAAGTGGGGACCACAGTTATCTTTAGTCGCACCCACCTGAAGTCGAAGGCCGATCTCAACTTCCCGGCTGGTAGCAGCGCGGCCACCCAAGTTGGGTCCCGCCCCTTTCCTTTCGAGCCCCTCCCACGAAGGCTCCGCCCCCTGCAGTCGGACCCGCCCAGCGAGGCCCGGATTGGCCAGCGCCGGGGGTGGGCGTGGCCGGAGGCTCCCGAGCGCCGTGTACGTCACCGAGCGGCGCCGAAGCCGCGGGCTGAGCCGGAGGCGGTAGCTGCCGGACGGTTGGCTCCTGCATTGGGGCCCCGACCCGAGCCGCGGCGGGAAGTGAGGCCGCAGCCGGTACCGGGGAGGGGCGGGGAGCAGGATCCTCGGCGCGGGCGCTCCTGGTTCCGACCCGGCTCCGCCTTCCGCGTGCTGCGCTGTGCGCCCGGCCCTGCACGGCGAGCAGTTTCCCTCCGCGTGCGCGGCCCTGGCCTCCTGAGGGTGCCGCTCGGGCTTCCCTGTCCCCGGAGACAGCCGGGCGAGGGTCGATCGGGGCGCAGAGGGAGTCCCGGGCCGTGGGGGCCCCGCGCCCTGCGGCCTGGTTCCTTGGTTTACCCCCTGCGCCCCGTCCCTCCAGGCCGCGGAAGATGACCACACTCACGCGACAGGACCTCAACTTTGGCCAAGGTAGGGAGGCCAGACCGGCAGACCCAGAGGGAGGGGTCTGGGCTTCGGGCTTCCCCGGAGCACCGGCGAGTGTCCCCTTTTACAGTGGTGGCCGACGTGCTCTGCGAGTTCCTGGAGGTGGCCGTGCACCTAATCCTCTACGTGCGCGAGGTCTACCCCGTGGGCATCTTCCAGAAACGCAAGAAGTACAACGTTCCCGTCCAGGTGAGCGCACACCGCAGGGTTGGGCCCCTGGTGGCCCCAGAATCTCAGAGTGGGTAAAAGAATTTTATCCCCCCACCACCAGGCCTCCTCTTTCTGGTAGCCCTGCAGTTACAGGTAGCCCTGCAGTTACTGTAGAGCTTTCCCTCGCCTTCCCCTTGCCAGAAGTTACAGAACGTCAAATCAGAGTTGTCCTGGGGGCATATTCTAAAAGAGCTCCTGCAGCCAGCATGGTGACATACAGCTACTCAGAAGGCTGAGGCAGGAGGATTGCACATTCAAGATCAGCCTGGACAGCTTAGTGAGACCCTGTCTCAAAATAAAAAAGGGCTGGGGATGCAGCTTAGTGGTAGAGTGCTTGCCTAGTTTGTGCAAGGCCCTGGGTTCCACAGGGAGAGAGAACTAGCTAGCTCCTCAGCCAACCAGCCAGCCAGAAGGGAGCCTTAGTTTGGGGAAAGGATTCCCAGAAGTTTCCAGCACTTTCTTCCCCATTCATTGGCTCTTTAATGGGTTGTTTAAGGTTAAAAGGCAGATAAAGCAGTAAACATGCTGTGCTATATCCAATCCCTAAAGTGCCTGTTCCATAGAAGGCACATTAGCATACATGACCACTGGATATTGGAAGTGGTACAAACTTAAAGGTTATACAGGGAAAAGGAAAAGCCAAATAGCAACCAATGTGTCCTAGGTATGTACTTAAGACTTAAGAGATGAAATAATTGAAGCTCAGAAAAGTTAAGTAATTTTCCCAAAGCCACACAGCTCCTTAGTGCTTAATTTTCAAACTCTGATTAAGTTTGTTGAGATTCTCTGAGAAAATGGCCATGGGCACAAATATAAGTTGGTGCACAATTTTAGGGACTTTTCAGACTCTTTGAAAATCCCATTCCTGGGCTGGGGATGTGGCTCAAGCAGTAGCGCGCTCGCCTGGCATGCATGCGGCCCGGGTTCGATCCTCAGCACCACATACAAACAAAGATGTTGTGTCCGCCGATAACTAAAAATAAATAAATATTTAAAAAAAAAAAAAAGAAGAAAATCCCATTCCTAATGTTCCATTAAATGCTAGTGTTGAGACTGAATTATTCTTTGAACTTTTCTTTACCATGGATAAACTCATAATTTTTAGCCCCATGAAGGGAAGCCAGATCTCTTGGGCAGGGAGCCCTGGGGAGCTGCTGGGTTTCTGTTCAAAGGCAAGCGGTCGGGTGGTGTGTCAGTTTTCCCCCGTGCTTCTGGCCTTAGCAGCCGTGTGGGGTTGTATGCAGATGTCCTGCCACCCGGAGCTGAACCAGTACATCCAGGACACGCTGCACTGTGTCAAGCCACTTCTGGAGAAGGTGAGGGGACACCAGGCCCTTCCACCCTGTCACCCCAGTCTGTTCCTCTTGAGTGGAGTGATGCTGAGACTCTGTGGGCCCCCATGGCTCTAATACCCAGAATCCTGTTCCCTGCACTCCCTACCAAACGACAGGCCCCAGGGCATGTGGGCCACATTTGGGGAGCCTTCTGCGGGGGGCTGGAGCCTGGGCTAGCTTTGCTGGCCGAATGGGGACTGCCTCAGAGGGTCTGAGTTCCTGCCATGTCTGCCCCCCACCATAAGTTCTGTCTGGCTGGGGCCCCAGGCTTGCCTTTCCTTCCTGTTCTGGTCTTAGGCTTCCTGGGCCTCCACGGCGCCACCCTCTCCTCCCAGCTGCACCTCCGTGTCCTGGGGTGCCACTCTCTGGGCTTTCAGGGAGCCTTGGGCTAATGGTGGAGGTGGCCAGGGAGTACCCTTTGCTACCCTTCCTTGGGCAGGGAGGGGCAGGGGGGCAGGGCAGAGTGCCCAGCTCTGGAGCTCTGGTGCCTGTCCTTGCAGAACGACGTGGAGAAGGTGGTGGTGGTGATCTTGGACAAGGAGCACCGCCCGGTGGAGAAGTTCGTCTTTGAGATCACTCAGCCTCCGCTGCTGTCCATCAGGTGGGCTGCTGTCCCTGCCACCTGCTGGCTGGCTGTGACCTGGAACAGTGACCCCTCTACCCCACTGAAGGCAGCCCCTGACCACCTTGGTAAATGCCTGAGAGGAGAAATTGGCAAGATGTGCCATTTCTTGAGACATGGGTGGCTGCATCTTTGTGGTCAGTACACAGTTGTCATGGACATCTTTCTGTGTTGCACTTAAAAATCCTAGCATTGGTGACTGCCAGTCCTGACCTCACTCTGTGGAGACACCAAGGTCCAGAGAGGTGACACAGCTGCCCCGGAGTGCCCCAGTTTCCCAACTTAGACAGCATCAGTCCATAGTGAACTAGAAGTTGGCCTTGGGCATGCGCATGCTTCCTAGGGCAGGTCGGCACTGGACCTGGCACCAACCTGTTCCCACTGGCCGCATGGCCCCAGACAAGCCCTTCCCCTTCTGGCCTGTGTGCAGAGTCCTGGCTGCGTCCTGGCTCTCCTGCCTGACTCCACACTGGAACCGCCTGGGAGGTCCCCGTGCTCTTCCTCCACTGTGTCGGGGGTGGGGGGCTGGGCTGGCATTCTCAGGGGCACTGCAGGGGCTCTGGGCCTGGAGCGACCGGAGACCTCCTCTCGCTCTCAGCTCCGACTCTCTGCTGTCCCACGTGGAGCAGCTGCTCCGAGCCTTCATCCTGAAGATCAGCGTGTGTGATGCTGTCCTGGACCACAACCCCCCAGGTCGGTGACTTCCCCCTAGTGTGTCCCTGGCTGCCTTGGGTTGCTCTGTGTTCCCTGTTTGGCTATACCGACCCTGGTCCTGACCTTCGTGCCCACCTCCTGGGAAGCTTCCCTGATTGACTCCACCTGGCTTCAGCCTTCTAGCGACTGTGCCCCCTCTTAGCCCTCAGCACACACTCTGCACCATGGGGTTTCTGAGCCAGCTGGGGAGGTGGGACAGAGCTGGGCCCAGGGCAGGCTCCTGGTGGCCCAGCCTTGACCAGACTCTCGCCTCTTCAGGCTGCACCTTCACAGTTCTGGTGCACACAAGAGAAGCTGCCACCCGAAATATGGAGAAGATCCAGGTCATTAAGGTGAGATGAGACCAGTCTGGCGGGGACAGGATGGCCACTGGGGGGCTCTGAAGCACGATGCCACAGCTGTAGGCATGAGTGTGTTGTGGCTGGTGTCCTTGGGTGCTGGCAGCAGTGCCTGGCACCCGGCAGGTTCCCATGAGTGTTAATTGTGTGGCCGTGTGCCTGGTCCTGCTCCATCTGGGCACCCAGAGCTGAGAGGAGCCCAGATGGAGCCACATGCCGGGGCTGCCAGCTCATCTTGCCTCTTCTGAAGTGGGGGTTCTCAAGGGAGGGTCCTTACCCACCCATTTCAAATTCAGTGCTTGAGGCTTGGAAATCACAGGAGGTTCCAGCCTTCCTGGTGGGGAAGCCCGTGAATCTCCATTGCCAGCAGCTCCCCAGGGATTCTGAGGACCTCAGCTCTGGAGGGGAGGGTTTGCAAATGGAGGGCTGGCCAGGGTCCCACTGTCCCACCCCTCTTTGTGGGTCACCTTCCTAGGACTTCCCCTGGATCCTGGCAGATGAGCAGGACGTCCACATGCACGACCCCCGGCTGATCCCCTTGAAGACCATGACATCAGACATCTTAAAGGTGAGCTGGCTGAGGAGGTCCAGCCCAGAGCCCAGGCTTGGAAGAGGACTAGGGAGGCTCCGTCCCCTTCCCCCTCCCTCCACCTTGGGCAGAGACCACCTGCCACCTGTGAGCTCGCCAGGGGGTGGCAGTGGCCCTCACTGAGGCTGCCTGCTTCTTCTCATTAGATGCAGCTCTACGTGGAAGAACGAGCTCACAAAAGCAGCTGAGGTGCGCCTGCCACCCTGATGAGGGGGTCTCCAGCCCAGGGCGGCGCTGCAGGGCCACCCAGACTCCAAGTGCTCTTACTGCCTCTGTGTACAGATGCCACCTCCAGCCCAGGGCTGCTCAGGCTGGTGGTCTTCATGGACAAGGCCTCCCTAGGAGGGCAGTCGGGACACTGGGACCGTGATGTCTTGGTCTCTTGGCTTCGGCTGGCCAACACTGTCTGTCTCAAAAACTGTGCTGTGAGTTACTTCAATAAAAGGGCCCCAAGGGCTGACTGGGCTGTCACTAACTAGAGCGGTGACAAGTGCAGCGAGCCACCCTGGGCTGCTTCTCTGTCCGGGTGCCAGCAGCCCACCCCACCTGTAAACTCAAGCCCAGGCTGGTTTTACTGGAAACATTTATTTTGACAAAACATTAGCACTGTGTGACCGTCTGCCCAAGGCTGGAACTGGGGCTGGAGCTCCGGGGCAGGGACCTCACTGCGCACTACAGGCTCAGCTCTTGCCTGGAGGGACCCTCCCTTTGTCCTGGACAGAAGATGGACGGATGGCTGCAGATGACCACAGGCTGTCCTCTGGCCCATGGAGATGAAATGGGAAGGGCCACTAGGAAGCCTCCCCCTGTCCCTGCAGTGTCTCAGGCAGAGCCCCGGAGGGAGCCAGGCTCCTGCTGGTCTTGGGGCTGATGATGATGCTGCTGTTGGTGACACGGGGCCCATACCAGCCTGCCCAGAACTGGGTGTCCTTGCCCCCGTGCTGGAACAGGATGTGGCGGACGCCTGGAGGGTAGTCAGAGAAGGTGTGGGAGACCTAGGGAGAGGAGGTAGCCACGGTTACTGGGGACGCCCCTGTTTGCTGCCATCCTGGTGCTGGGAGAAGGGTGGGCAGCAGGTGAGGCCTCACCTCTGTCCACGTCGCGTCGTTCCACTGATGGACAGTCACGGGTGGGGGCTCGAAGGAGGCCAAGACGATGTAGTCGGCGGAGGCCAGCTGCACCCGGATGTGGTAGGAGCAGCCACAGTCGGCCCTGGCAGCGAACCTGGGGGCGGTGGGGGAGGCTCAGCTGCCATCAAGAGCCACTGAAGGCTGCCCTGGGGGCGGGGGCAGGCGAAGCCCAGGACCTGAGCTTGCTCCCTCTGCCAGCTGCTCTGCCCAGGAGGCCCAACTGGCCTTGGCACTCCCTGTGCCCTGGGGTACAGTCTATCCATGGGGAGCCTTAGTTACCCCATTTGAGAAAACCGGCAACCTTTGAGCATTCTACTAAAGATTTGATCCCCCAAAACAAAAAGGTCCTCTACAGAGACCAAGGCCCCATCTGTCTAAGCTGTGTCACCTATGTCACAGTGGCCCAGAACATTCAAGTTGGGGACCTGTGTGGTGGGGGCTGGCAGAGCTCACCTCTCAGTTCAGCCACCCTTCAAACATCACCCCTTCTCTCTCAGAGGTGGCCCTGGGACCTGCTGGACCTGGTGCATGGCCCAAGCCAGTGCCAGTGCCTCACAGTTCTGTGGGCAGGAGCCTGGGCAAGTGCTGTGGGATGGGCGGGTGCAGCCGGTGGCAGAGCAGGTGCAGAGCATGCCTGAGGCCGAGCCCTGTCCCCAAAGCCGTAAATTCAGAGAGCTGTGGGTGACCAGGGAGAAAGTGTGTGGAGGTGCCCACAGAATCCAGAGGGCAGCGTCCCTGCTGCTTCCAGGCCTTGGTGACTATTTTCATCCATAGGCCTCAGTCTCCCATCTGCAAACGGGCCGGCGTGTCCTGCTGACTACATCGTGGAGAGGGAGGGGGACTGGGTGCTGGGTCCCTAGAGGCAGCCCTAGCCCCCAGGATGCTGCTGGCACAGCAGGGGCACTCACCATAGGTTCTCTGACCCAGTGACTATGGCAGGAGGGGAGGGAAAGGGTGCACAGTGGGGACACTGGCCATGGGCCCCACTCACCAGTCCTTCACCACGATCTCAGGCCGGAATGTGTCCAGCAGCTCCTCCCAGTAGCCCTCGGCCTTGAGGTCCACCAGCTGGGACTTGAGGCACATGCTGAGGGGCAAAGGGCAAGGCTGTCACACCCAGATGTGCTATGCAGGACTCTGTGGGCCCAGTGAGGTGGCCCAGGAACCCAGGGGCTGCTCTCAACCACCGCAGGACTCCAGCGTCCACTCGGGGGCAGACCCATGGGAAACAACATGTAGGTGATGTGACCCGCTTGGGCCTGGGCAGCATCTGATCCCAGTTGAAAGGCCCAGTCTCCAGGTGGCTGTGGTGGGCCTTCTGTGACTCCACTCGTAGATCAGGACCGCCTGCAGACACCCTGCCTTACCCTACTGCCCCGCGAACTCCTGGCGGCCTGAAACTCCTCTCCCCCTGCCTGGACAGGAAGCTTACTGGCTCCAGGAAGCTGTGGGCTCTGAATGTGTCTGGGAACTGCTCCCCGAAGCTTCCCGAGGCCCTCAGGTAGGCCTGAGGTTTGCAAAGGTGTCCTGGACCTCAGCCCTCAACCCAAGCCTGCTGGCTTCAGCCCCTCTTACCCGTAGGAGGTGACAAAGTACTTCTTGACTTGGGGGTCAGGAAAATCTGTGCCATGCTCTCCAGGCAGGCTCTCCACCTTCCAGTGGTCCCCCCCATTGGAGTCGATTCGCCAAGACCCCATATCCTCTAGGAGAAATGGAACTGAGGTGAGATCCCTGCGGAAAGCTGAGGCCCACCTTCCCCAGCTGGCTGGCTTTCAGGCCAGTGATACTGCAGCCGGGGTCAGTCCCCCACCAGCTGAAGAGCATCTCACCTGTGCCTCGGGGCCCCCAGTACATTCATTCCCACCTGGGTCCCTGTGCTGGGCTCATTCCCTCCCGCTCTGTTCTGATCTGGCTTGGCTCCTAAGGTGCAGTTCAGTTCTTAAAATTAAAATTAAATCTCAAAAGAGCCTGTGAGAGTGCTTGGTCCCCAGGACTGATGTGAGTTCCATCAATGCACGCCACTCACTTGACCACTGGCCTCCCCTGACGTCCAGGAGGAAGAGGATGTCAATTAACTGCATAACCACAATCCGGGAGGACTGGCTGGAGGGTTTCAGGGAACCTGTTATTCCTATATGGCTCTACCCGTGGCAAGAGTGGCCAGTGGGGACAGGCACCCTGGGCTGCTGGCTGCAGGAACCCTGTGTTCAAGGACCTCCATCGGGTGGGCTCAGCAGGTGCAGGGCGCCTCCTCCTCACACTGAGCTCAGAGGAGCTGAGCAGGTGACAGTGCCCCTCGGCTGAGGCTGCCCAGGGCATCACCACTGCAGCTTTTCCATACTGCTCACCCAAGGGGAGCCCACACATCTGGCCCCCATGTGGCCTGGGGGTTTCCCAAGCAGAGAACCAAGAGAGAAATGCAGAACCACATGGGGCTATGCTGGTCTGAGCTTAGGCCCAGGGAAGATCCAGCCAGCCAGGGGTGACTGCTGCCAGACGCAGGCCCAGCCCCAGGCTTTGGGAGGCCCCATTGGCTGAGTGGGCAGCTCGACTGGGCAGCTTATGGACAGAATCTGGAGCAGGCAGGAAGAAGGCTGGGCACTGGCAGTGGGCCTCTGAGAGGGCCTGAGCCTTTGTTAGTCAGGACTGGACCTCAAGACTGCCAGTTCCAGATCTCAGGGCAAGTCATCTCAGGGCCCACAGCACCCGCCTAGCAAATGGAGCTGCCCTCAAGGCCAATGAGGATGAAGAGAAAACCAGTGGAAAATGACCTAAGTGCCCAGATGAGGCCTCTTAATCACCACTGTGTCCTGAAAGGAGCCTGGTGCTCTGGGCATGGTAGGTGCTAAGTGAAGGAAGGAGGAAACAGACACAAGAACCCCCCGGAAAACACAAAAGTACTACAGGCGACACGTGGGTCCCAAACTATGACTGGAGTCACCTCTGGATCCTCACTTTTTGCAGAGGAGGGTTACCACGTCTGGAATATCCTTAGACAAGTTCCGGGCGCAGAGAAGGCCCTGGAGAGCAAGGCAGCTTGTGCTGAGCTAAGGGGACAGGCGGATCTGCAGCGTTCATCCAGCGAACACCTCTGAGCACCTGCCACGCGACAGCATCTTTGTGGGAACTGTACAGTGGCTCATTAGGGCCTCTGGAACTTCAAGTTTGTACCAGAGGGCAGAAAACTGTAGCGTGAACAGTGCTGCTACGGGGCGGTAAACGGTAGGCAATAGGTGGGAGGCACTGTGTTTAGATGGGAGGTCAGGGCAGGTCTCTGAACTGAAACCTGAAGAATGGAGAGGAGCCAAGGTGTTAGGGGACTGGAATAGCAAGTGCAAGGGCCCTGAGGTTCAGAAAAGCCAAGGAGCCAGCGCTGTGGTAGCCCCAGCCCACCTTCAGCACACGGGTTGCGTAGGAGGTTCCTGCGGAGACTGCACAGAAAGTAGAAGATCTTCCAGTCGGCCACGGGCTGGTCCCAGTCCTCTGTGACAAAGCCCTCGCGCAGGCATTTGCGCTTCCAGAGGGTCACGAGGTCGATGAGGTCTCGCCAGAGGCTGCAGACGGGCCGGCAGTGCAGCAGCAGCTGGCGGGCAGGCACGTGCATGAACAGCTCCAGCAGGATGTTCTCGGGCAGCTCGTTGATGCTGACCAGGGCCATGGCGGTGGAGGGTAGTGTGCACACAAGGGTCTGCGGGGGACAGTGGTGATGAGCCCAGAGCAGCCAGGTGGACCGCGAGATCCAAAGGACTGGCTCTTCTCCACTCCTGTTTCCTCTTTTGTGAAAACAAGGGGTTAGGGAGCATTCCCAGGGCCTTCCCACTGCACAGGGGTGGTCCCATTTACACACATTTGGAAGAGTAAATAAAAGTAATTAAGATTTTAGGCACAGAGCAGGGCACGGCAGCCCACCCGGATGGCCCCAGCTACTTGGCTTCAAAGGCTGAGGCAGGAGGACAACAACCCCAGGAGTTCAAGATCAGCCTGGGCAAGGTAGTGACTTGTAGCTCAAAAAAAAAAAAAAAAAAAAAAAAGATTATTTTCAAACCCCAACTAAAAAATAATTGCTCAATTCTGAAGCCAGGTGCCTGGTTGACCTGTCCTAAGAGTTTGCTGGGGCCACCTGTTGTATGAGGTTCTAAGAGGGTTTGGTGATGGTCCTGCACTACTGTGAATTCAGAATATAGAAATCCAGCTTCCAGCCGCTGACTAATGTTCCTTGGGGAGGGGCTGCTGCTGCAAACAGCTTCCCTTTCCCAAACCGCTCCCTTTGGCCTGGAATTCAGATGAGGAAACACACCCGGAGCGACCCTGCAGCGGTGGCTGGGCTGCCTTGGTGTGTCTGGCCAGGCCACTGGGAAATCTGTAGCCTGGGGGCTCCGGTGGGTGGGGGCAGGCTCTGCACTGTCACTCTGATGAGCCTGGTCTGCTGACATCTGGGGACAGAGTTCTCCGACCACGGATCAGAAGAGAAACTCGCTAGCCTCTTCTGATTTGGCACAGACGTGACCAAAAGAGCTGCCAGGTCTTGTGAAACTCCCATCCCAGATTGCAGAGGGATGCGCACCCTGGCTCCCGGGGGAGCAGCATTTCAGTGGGCGGGGAACAAACTACAGCAGACAAGGTGCCGGTGCCTTGTGCGAAAAGCCCTGGCGGAAAATCGCCACCAGGCCGGCACGGTGGCCAGCTCTTCCCACCCGGGGCTTGAAACTGCGCAACGTCAACTTCAAAACACCCCCAACTTCTAAAAGCACCAAACGAGCGCCAGGCGGGGGCGCCCTGGAGCGCGCGGCGCCGGGTCGGTCTCGGGCTTCGGTGGCGCTCTGCCCCGCCTCCGAGTCCCCCTCCAAGTCCCCGGCCACCCGCCCCGCGGGGCGGTTCCGAGGTCGCCGCGGCGTTTCCCGTGCGCACTCGCGCCGGCCAGGACGCCGCCTCCGGGGCGGGCTCCCAGGTGCCCGCAGCGCCCCCGCTCCCCGCGCCCCTCTCCCGCGGCGCCGGGCGGGGAGGGCCGGGCGCGGTGGGTCCAGTTGCCGTCCGCGCGCCGGGGCGCCGCCGAGGGATCTGCCCCGCCTGCGCCCCCTCCCCGGCCGGCGTCCGCGGGCCCGGTGCCCTCCCGCACGCGCCGCCCCTTCCCGCCCCGTCCCCCTGGGCCGCGACCTGGACGCGGGGCCGCCCGGCGGCGGCAGCTCCGGTCAGCCTGGGGCCTGCGCCTCGCCGGCGCCGTCCGCTCTCGCCCCGCCCCGTCCGCCCGCGTCACGCGCAGCGCTCGGGCAGCCGCCCGCGCCCCCACCCCCGCCTGCCAGCCCGAAGAGGAGCCTGGGGTCCCCGGGGCCCGCCGCGCCACCCGGAGGCGCTCGGCGAAGACCATCCTGGCGTCTCGCGGTCGGGGTGGGCGCCGCGCCTCCCGGGACCTCGCGGCTGCCGGCGTTTCCCGAGCCGGAGTCTCCCTCTCCAGGCGGTGGGCAGCTCGGCAGCCGGCACCCACCTCTTCCCCGCTTCCTCCTTCTGCAGGGGAAGCCCCGTCGGCTGGGTCTCGGTCCTGTCCCGCGCTGGCCACGCCTTAGACTTCTTTTCACCTGTTTACCGCACACGGTTGGAGGTGGGGCCAGTTCTTCGCCCTGGATTCGTGGCCCCCTCCCCGGAGGGCCAGAGCTGACATTTTGGGTTTGGGCTGGGCTTTTCGTAGGCCTCAGCTGATGCAAAGATAAAAACCTCTTGTGTGTGTGTTTTTTTTTTCTTCGTTGTTAATTCAACAACAATTTATCAAGCACCCATTTTGGCAGCTGAGAGGGTTTCGCAGGCTGAGCACTGCACGAGGGCTGGCCCAGCAGCATCGCTCCAGTCAGGGCTGCGCCTTCTCCAGGGAAGGTGTCTTTTTCCGCTTTGTTCCCACCTAGCATGGCCCTAATTAACTCATAATTGAGTGTCATAAATTTAACAAGTACTTCCTAAGCACCTCCCTGTATGCCAAGCACAACTTCAAATGCTCTGGCCTCATCCAATGTCAACAGTGGCACTGCTCCCAGCAGCAGGTGTGCCGAGGGCTGCCCAGAGAAGCCCATCCACGGGCCCAGCCCTGTGGACGCTGTGGTGCCCGAGGCTGCGGGAGTGCAGTCTGTTGAGGGGTCTGCCCCACGACCAGCCTGTGAGGAGCTGATTCCAGAAATGTCAACCCCTCTCTACTTTGGACGGAAGCCACACTAGACCCTCTGCAGGTCCAGGCAGGGCACCCAAGAAGTTTGTCTTTCCCTCCAGAAGCCACAGGGCACAGGCTGGCTGGAACACTTTTATTCGGCAGCATGCGGGGGGCAAGGTCAGGAGGACACTGCTGTCCTTGGTGGGGCACTGCTGTGGTGGGTTTTACTTTGGGGGGGTAGTGCTGGGCTGGAATAATTTCCAAGCTGTAGGGAGCGTAGCCAGGGCTGAGGTGGACAGCTGGTCCCTGAAAACCATCTACCCTACTCATCCAAGGTTCGTGTGTCCCAACCTTGCCCCCACCTGGCCTGAGTCACCCTGTCCCCCAGTACCCACCTGGCTGCGGGGCTTCGGTGATGGTAAGGGCAGCCCACACCCGCCTGCAGCCACCCTACCTGGGGCCTGGCTTGTCACCTCAGACCAGGTCAGAGCCTGGGGCTGAGCCACCTCTGGTGAGCAGGCAGAGTGAGGTCAGGGGTGGCCACAGGGCAGAAGTGGCTGGCAGAGCCTGCCTCTGCTTCTCAGACCTGTCATCTTTCAGATCTGTCATTGTGAATGGCTGTCACAAATGTGACAGGTGTCTTGCCTGCTCCTGCTCCTGCTCCAAAGACCCCCAAAGGACCCAGGGAGAAAGGGCCAGGGAGAGGTACAGGCAGACGTGGCCCGGCGTCCCAGCTGCAGACCCCTGTCCAGGAAGCCTGGGGATGCCCTGCTCCCTGCCCTCAGGGCTCCGTCTCTCGGAGGGGCCCAGTGAGGCCGCCCCTGCAATTGTTCAGGTTGGGACCTCAGCGGGGAGCAGGCCCCCAGCATGGGACAGCTGCCCAAATCCAGAGGCTCCACAGAGAAGAGGTGAGTGGGGGCAGGGACACACTGAAAGGCTGGGGACACCTGGCTTCCGCCTCCCCTTCCCAAACTCAGCCCTCCTCTGACAGCAGTTTACCAGTCAGGGTTCAGTTGATGGGGGGCCAGGGGGCGTCAGGGCAGTGGGGGCCCGATGGTGATGCTGCTGTTGGTGACCCTCGGGCCGTACCAGCCGGCCCAGTAGTGGGTGTCCACGCCGCCGTGCTGAAACCAGATGTAGCGGACGCCGGGAGGGTAGTTGGAGAAGGTGTGGGAGACCTGGGGTGGGGCAGGCAGAGGGAGGCCAGAGGTCAGGGCCACCCCCAGTGGCACTGCCGGGTGGGGGCTGGGGACCAGGAGCTCCAGCCCCCGCTCTGTGCCTGAGGAGACGGCCTCTCTCTGTGACTTGCCTTCCTCATCTGTCAAACAGCAAAATCCCGCCCAGGCCACTGGGCCCAAAGGACCTGACAGTGTCGGCACATGGCCAGGCTAAAAAGCACAGGATACTGGGGCTGGGGCGGGGCTCAGGGCAGAGCGCTCGCCTAGCGTGTGTGAGGCGCTGGGTTCAATCCTCAGCACCAAGTAAAATAAAAAAATAAAATAAAGTGATAAAAACAGAGTAAGAATTAACACTGCAGCCCCTCGGCCGCCTGGGAGCAGCTCCTACTAGGGGCCAGCGTCCTGTGCGGCCCCTGGCTAGCACACGGGCGGTGCGGACAGCATTTCTAGCACTGCAGCAAGCTCCAGGGGACCCAGCAACAGCCTGTAGGACCACCGCCTGTCTCTGTCCGTCACGTGACTGGAACAGTCGTGCCTGGTCCCATGGTGACAGCAGGGTGGAAGGCTGAGTGGCAGTGACAGACAGAGGCTGGTGAAGCCTAAGGACTCTGTACCTGGCTGCTTCAGAGGGCCCGGGCTTGCCTAGGTGACCCAGGTGCCCGTCTAGGTGACCCAGGTGCTGCTCAGCTCACCACGGGGGACTGTGTCCAGGTAAACGCACGCAAGCTGAGCAGGACGGGGGACCCTCAGGACCCTGAGTGGAGACCTGTGCTCTTGGACGTAAAACGGGGTCAGAGCCCGAGGAATCAAGAAGGCCCGGGTTACGCTGCTGTGAGCAGGGACCCTCTGCAGTCACAGCTGAGAGCGGTCATCTGTGGCAGCCCTTCTGGACAGTTGATCTCATGTCTTTCTTTCTCTCCCCAGTGCCAGGCCAGTGCTGTACCTGGGAGCTGCCCCTGCCCAGCTTGCTGTCTAAGGGCGTCCTTGGTCACTGACTTCCTCCTTTTCTGAGGGAAGACTAGTCCAGGCAGCAGATGGGCCCAGGCGGGAGGCGGCTGGCTCTGAGCCCTGAAGTGGGAGCCCTGGGCCCGCCCCTGCCCGCCAGGCCACGCACCTCCCTCCATCGGGCGTCGCTCTTCTGCTGGATCATCACTGGGTCTGGCTGGAAGGTCCCCAGAGGGGCGTGTGCGGAGGACAGGAGCTGGACGCACAGCTGGTACTTGGACCCGCAGTCTGGCCTGGCTGCGAACCTGTGGGCAGAGGGAGGCCCATGAGGGCCTGGGAGAGCGGGGGCAGGGTGGGGGTGGGGCGCCAGAGTGGCAGGCCCCACCCAGACCCTCGCCCCGGGCACTCACCAGTCCTTGACCTGGATGTCCGGTCGGGTGGTGTCCATCAGCTCCTCCCAATACCCTTCAGCCTTGAGGTCCACCACCTGGGACTTGAGGCAGGTGCTGGGGGCGGTGGAGGGTGGGACGGGGCTGGGACTGTCCCTCCCAGGGGTGGGAGAGACCCCAGGGTGAAGTGACTTGGGCTCCCCCCCCCCAGACCCCCGATCTTACTAATAAGAAGTCACGAAGTATTTCTTGACCTGGTCATTGGGGAACTCCTTCCGCTGGTCTTTGGAAAGGTCCTCCACCTTCCACTCATCGCCTCCGTTCACATCCAGGCTCCAGAACTCAAAGCCCTCTGTGGGAAAGCCGAATTCACCACGCGGGGAAGACAGTGGCCACCTGCTCCCAAGGCCCTTCCTCCCGGCTCTTCTCCCTGGGTCTCAGCAGCCCCTCCAGCCCCGTGCTGTAGGTCACTGCAGATCAATACTGCCCTCCACAGGTGCTTCCTGTGTCCGAGCCTAGGTAAGTGATTTCCATTGAGAGTCCCGGGCAAAACCCACCAGACCCCTTCTGTGTCAAGGGCCACACAGACCCTGGTCTCAGACAAGCTCTAACAATACTAGGCTGCGTGATCTCAGACAAGTTACTTTCACTCTCTGAGCTTTAGTCATCTCTGTAAACGGCAGTCAAGAATGTGAAGACACTGGGTGCAGTGGCACACGCCTGTAATCCCAGTGGTTCAGGAGGCTGAGGCAGGAGGATTATGAGTTCAAAGCCAGCCTCAGCAACTTAGTGAGGCCCCAAGCAACTCAGCAAGACCCTGTCTCTAAATAAAATATAAAAAATAGCTGGGATGTTGCTCAGTGGGTGAGTGTCCCTGGGTTCAACTCAGGTACCAAAAAAAAAAAAAAAAAGGGATGGGACGGGAAGCGTCTCCTGCAGAGTGGCACATATTTAGCTTTTGGGGTCCTGTGCCATTCAGTCACACAGGGTTTTTTTCCTTGCTTCCTTTTTTTTTTTTTTAAATAATCTTTGTAAAATGTAAGGTTTTTCTTCACTCCTTGGCCACATCTGGTTCGAAGGCCATGTTTTGCCAAACACTGGTCAAGAAGAACGTGCTGGGAGGGCGGGAGCACAGATGGCAGCAGCTGTTTTGTCACCACTTGACACTAGAATTTGACCATGGAACAGAGCACAAGGTCGCCATCCCACCCAGGTCCTCACGACAAGTTACAACGTGACGAAGGAAGGAGGGAGTGGCTGTGGAAGCCTTGTTTTGCCTGTGGGGGCACCACGCTGGAAAGACTGGGTTGTCCCCTCTTCTATAAGCAGAAGCCCATGTCCTCTAGGGCAGTCCTAGGAGTCCCAGGCTAGAGTCTGAAAATGAGATCCAAAAAATGTGCCTCCAACTTATATCTTGGGCACAATCAGTCCCCACTGGACAACAGTTCCTTTCCTAGGGAAGGTCACTGGAGAAATAATTGTGAGAGTCGAATAAGAAACACGACCCTTGGCCCCAGTCTGTCCACCTGAAAAATGGGTGCATGGACACTGCCCACCTCTAAGGGTTATCGTGAGAGCATAAAAGGACTTAGCTACAGGAAGTGGTCAGTATGTGTCAGCTGCTACCGTGTGTGTTGGGGGCACGCAGACCCCTCTCACCCACCTTCAGCACACGGGTTGTGCAGGAGGTTCCTGTGGAGGCTACGGAGGAAGTAGAAGATCTTCCAGTCGGCCACAGGCTGGTCCCAGTCCTCGGTGATGAAGCCCTCGCGCAGGCACTTGCGCTTCCAGAGGGTCACCAGGTCGATGAGGTCTCGCCAGAGGCTACAGACCAGGCGGCAGCGCAGCAGCAACTGGCGGGCAGGCACATGGGTGAACAGCTCCAGCAGGATGTTCTCGGGCAGCTCGTTGATGTTGCCCACGGCCATGGCGGTAGCTTCTGGACACCCCCTGTGGTTATTGAAAAGCCGCACTACAGACCTGGCCCTCTCCCCAGAACCCGCTATTTGCAGCACCCAGTAGTGGTGGAGGTTCCCATCCTAGCTGTCTTTGACTGTGTCAGGAAAGTCACTGTGCCTGTCTGAACTTCAGTCTCCTCCTCTATATTTGGCCAAGAACAGTCCTTCCTTCCAAGGGTCATGGGCAGTCTAAGAAGCATGGGACACAGCAGGTGCTCAACACAAGGTGAGCTCTGTTTTTTTTTCACTGGCACCTCAGAACCACCTCTAGGGAGACTAGGGAGGTCCAGAGAGGTTGAAGGAACTGCCCAAGGTCACCCAGACAGGGGCAGAGGGGAGAAGGAGCCCGGTCCTTTCTGATTCTAGGGCTGCCCTTTTTCAATAGGCCCGTCTTTAGAGGAGGAGTAACAGTGCCCAGCGCAGGGCACCTGAGCCTGTCCAGGTCTTCTTCATCCTCTCCCTCTCCAGAGCAGAGGAGGGGGCAACGCTGGAGGGCGCTGGGGATATAAATCACTGTCCTCACAAGGTCCAATGGGCTTGGCGACTTTCCCAAGATCACAGAGAAATGCCCAGCCTAGCTGGGACTGGAGAGGGTGGACCAAGGGCCAGGGCCCTGCCTACCTCCCCGCCCCCACCCCATGGCTAGGCTCAGCCCCAGCCCCCCAGCGCGACTGTGGCGCCCCATTCCCACCAAAGTCGGGACCGGACCTCAGCGCGTCCACGGCGACCTCAGCTCGCGCTCCCGGCCCTGTCGCGGTGGGCGGCGGCGGCGCTGGGACAAACCCCTCGACCTGGGCCTGGTCGGCGCCGAGCCTCCCCGGGCGAACTGCGGCTCGGCGAAAGCCAAGGAACCCGCAGCCCGGCGCCCACGGCCGCGCCCCCTCCCCACGGCGCTCCGCGTCCCCACCCGCGGGTCACCTGCGCTCGTCGGTCGCTACGGGATCCCGCTCGGCCTCCGGGGCTGCGCAGCCTGGGCCTGTGGTCGCCAGGATGCGGCCCGCCCCGCCCACAGGCCCCCCCCCGCCCGGCCCCCCCCCCCCCCCCCCGGCCCCGCCCCCCCCCCCTCCCCTCCCCGCCCGGCCCCGCTCCCCTCCTCTCCCTGCTCCGCTCCTCTCCCCTCCCCGCGCCGCTCCAGCCGGGGACGCGCCCCGCCGCCGCCGCGTAGGAAAATTACCTGCGCGGGGCGGAAGGAGCCTCCCACCCCCAACTCCGCCCGGGCCGCGCGCCCCGCAGGACCAGGCTCGCCCTGCCCCCCCCGCCGCCTCGTCCCGCTGCCACCGCAGGGGCGAGCTGCGCGACACCCCACCTCGGACCCCCATCCCCCAATCAAAAAAACGACTCTGACCTTTGCCGGCCTCCCGGGTCCACCGAGGAACCCGCAGCCTCAGGCCTCCGTCCCCGACGCGGGGACTGCGGGGCGGCCGGGCGCCCGGCCAAAGGCGGGGCGGGGCGAGCGCGGGGACCTTTAAGAGGCGCAGCCGCCCGGGCGCCCCGGTCTCGAGCGCGGCTGGACTCCTCGCCGCCGCCGCGAGACTCGGCACCCGCAGCGCTCCGGCTCCTCCTCCTCCCGCGACCGCGCTCCGCAGCGATGGACGGAGACGGTGACCCAGGTAGCCGCCGCCTGGACCCGCTCGCTCCAGCCCGGGAGGGGAGACAGGGCAGGCGGGCGAGTGCCTCCGAGGGTCCTCGGAGAGCGCGGGGTCCCCGAGAGGCGGCGCGCAAAGTTTCACGCAAGCAAAGCCCTTGGGACAGCCTCGAGGCGGGAGGCCTTGAGGAGCGACAGACAGGGAGGGAGGACTGCTGGGTTCCCAAAGTGGCATTGGACTCCCCCGTTCCGCCTGCTTCCTGAGGGTTTGTGGGGCTGGGGGGCTTCTGGGCGGAGGAGCCCCCAAGCCTTTTTCTTCCATCAACTTCTTCCGTTTGTCCGCTGTGGCCCGTCAGCTGCCTGGACCCTACGGGTTTCTTGGGGTTACTAGCCTCTCCCCACCCATTTCAGTCTTCCCCTGGGGCTCCCTCTGGGTGGCAGGATGCCTAGTGGGACTAGACGAGCCTTGAGGAGGAACTGAGGGACCGCTCCCCATCCTCAGGTCCTCCAGATTGCCCAGTCATCTTTGCAGGCACCAAAGACCCTCCCCCATTCCTCCAGCTTCCTGTTGGGCCTGTAGGGGTCGCCTGCTGAGTCAGGGTGGGGACAAGACCTCCCTGCAGTTTGCTCTCACCCAATTCCTCACCTCACGGGTGGCTTTGGCAGGCCATGAACCCATGCACACCCAGGTTGCCAGGCCCCCTCTCCTGGCTCTGAAATTCCAGCTCCTGCATCCCCCTCCCAATCTGTGGCCCCCCCATGTCACACTCTTTACCAGGCCTGGGCCTGGTTTTTCCCAGGGCCCAGTTATTCCTGTGGACTCCAGGGCCCCATCCAGGTGAGTGAATCAGCCTGGAAGCAGCTTCCAGGCCCAGATAACTTTCCCCCAGCAACAATGTGAGGAGTTGTGTGAGCGAGAGTGGGGGTAGGGGGCTGTAATCAGATCCGGGGCCTCAGTGCCAGGCCAGGGGGCCAGGAGAGAGGACTGGGCAAGGTGCACCTTTCGGGGGAGCATCAGGTATCCACTGGGGCCAGGGCAGGGCAGGTGTGTGGGTGGAGAGGTGAGGACACTGGGCCCAGCTCCCCAGAGAGCTGCGGGCAGCAGAATGGCCAGGCATTTTCCTTTCTGCAGTGTGACCTGGAGAAGCTGCTCAGCCTCTCTGGGCCTCAGTTTTCTCTTTGCCAAAGGGAAGGGGTGAACCCATATATCATTAAAATGTGACCCTAAAATGCTAATCACTAAGAAGAGAAAGGGCAGCACTTAGTAAGGTTCACTGAGTTCCCGAGGCCTCACTGTGTGCACTGAGCTCTGAAAAGGAGGTCAACCCGAGCTGGAGGTGCTGGTGACATCAGACTTGGGTGTAGGCTCTGCTACCTGCCCCTTCCCCCACCACCACCTTGGCTTTCCAGGGCCCAACCTTCAGGAATTCCTCATCTTAGTTCTGAGAGTGGTGGCCTCCCCACAACTAGCTGTCCCTCCTCCAGAGCTCCTGGGCACTGCATCTGCTTACTCAAGGCTCCCGTGGCCCAGCAGAGGTGGGCTGGGATCCAAAAGATGGTCCAGCCGGCCACTGCTGACATCTGCCCTCTGCCTTCCAGTTCACAATGCCCTCCCCTGCTCCTTGGGGGATTTGAACATCAGCACCATCAGGATGACCATTTCCAGATGAGAAAACTGAGGGTCAGGGATGGAAAAAGAACGTGTGACAAAAACTTCCTTTCCCAAGCCCCTAGAACATTTTCTTGTATGATACACTATTTCCCACCCCCAAGTCGCACAGCATTGGCTGGTTGGGGACAGTGGGTCTCCAGCCCCTAATCTTCAGGTCTAATATTTCCTATCCTAATATTACCTTTAGCAAGTCACTTCGCATCTCTGAGCCTGATCGTTTTCACTTGGAAAATCAAAACCACAACTGTGCCTAAAAAATAACCCAACACATTATTTTGTTGGAACAGTGTGGTCAAAGGTGGCTCTAGAGCCAGAGTGGGCTCCAACACAGGTCCAGCTACTCATTAGCTGTGGATCACCGCTCTGTGCCTCAGTTTCCTCATCAATGAAATAGGGGCAGCCATAGGCTCAAGATTCTGCTGATTCTAGAATAATTGAAAGGTTTAAAAACAGCACTTGACGTTTGCTAAGTGCCTGATAAACACAAGCTCCTGACAGCACCAGGCAGGATCCCGTCTCCCAGAACTGATTCTGGCCCTCGGGTGAAGTCAATCTAGTGCAGAAAAAGTTCATCAAGTCATCATACCCCAAGCAAAAGCTAGGAAGCCCTGGGAGGCCTCTGAACTTGGGCTGTGAGAGAATGTACTAAGGGGAAGTTCAGAAGGCTTCCAGGAGGAGGGGAGGGGAGCAGGGGTCCTGGAGGGTGTTTAGGAGGACTGAAGGGGTTGCTCTGGGACAATGCTATCCATGGCAGCCATCAATTACGGTACGATGGCTGCTGTCCTTTGTTCAAGGTTGGAGTTTCCCGCCAAGCAGGGGAAAAAGACCAATGTGGCAATTATTCAGACCTAGGGGACCCATCTTAGTTCTGCACCCTTGGGCTTCCTCCCTGTGACTCGGTCTGAGTCCCAGAAACTCTGTCCCCAGCTGTGGTTGCCCCAGGGTGGGTGGAGGGCCCATCTGGGGCGCGGAGCGGGGACTATCTGGAGGTCACAGCCGCCTCTCCCCTGGTCACAGAGAGCGTGGGCCAGCCGGAGGAGCAGCCGGAGGAGGCGTGCGCGGAGGCCGAGGAGGAGCAGCCCGGGGAGGAAGAGGCATCAGGCGAGGAGGAGGCGGCGGCGTACCTGGCGGAGCTGCCCGAGCCGCTGCTCCTGCGCGTGCTGGCCGCTCTGCCGGCCGCTGAGCTGGTGCAGGCCTGCCGCCTGGTGTGCCTGCGCTGGAAGGAGCTGGTGGACGGCGCCCCCCTGTGGCTGCTCAAGTGCCAGCAGGAGGGGCTGGTGCCCGAGGGTGGCGGCGACGACGAGCGAGACCACTGGCAGCAGTTCTACTTTCTGAGCAAGCGGCGGCGCAACCTGCTGCGCAACCCGTGCGGGGAAGGTGAGGGTGACGTCCCTGGCCCCGCGCCTGGGGAACGGGCAATCTGCCATCCCCTCCTGCTGGCGCAGCGTCACATGAGATGAAGAGCTTGGCTCAGGGCCTAGCACCCAGCAGCCCCTGTTAGCACTATTACTAACAGCTCCCCGGCCACCTGCTCCTGGGGGGTCTCTTTCCCAGGGGGGGGTGGGACTGGCCCTGTGGACAGCCATCCCTGGGGAGAACCAGGAAGTGCCCACCATTCCACCCCCCATCGTCTGCACACTCCTGATTCCGTGAAAGTACCACGTTCACCCTGTCCCCCACTGTAGTGGCGGGAGCCAGCCCTGCTGCAGCTTCAGCGGGCACTGGGTGACCTGGGTGGGGCTATCGTGTTCCTACAGAAGACTTGGAGGGCTGGTGCGACGTGGAGCACGGTGGCGACGGCTGGCGGGTGGAGGAGCTGCCTGGAGACAGTGGGGTGGAATTCAGCCACGATGAGAGCGTCAAGAAGTACTTCGCCTCCTCCTTTGAGTAAGAAGATGGTGTGGGGGAGGGCGGGTGTGGGGGGCTCCTCTGCGTCCTAACTCCAGTTCTTCCAGGTGGTGTCGCAAAGCACAAGTCATTGACCTGCAAGCTGAGGGCTACTGGGAGGAGCTGCTGGACACCACCCAGCCGGCCATCGTGGTGAAGGACTGGTGAGAGTCAGTGGGGACCGCTGCATTGGGATGGGGAGGGGAAAGCCGAGGGGACACCACCTCTAGTGTTGTGATCACGGGGGCCACAAGTCTGCAAGCGTTGACAGCTTCCAAGTTCTTAGGAAAGGGTGGAAAGCCATCTCGGCCTGAGTTTCAAATGTTGACACAGGCAGGTGGATAGTCACCGCCTGAACAAAGTGACTCTGTGAGATCGCTTTGGCCGAACTGGGGTTTAGTCCTTTTTTTTTTGGATCTTGGGCCAGTTCCTTTCTCTGTCTGGCCTCGGTTTCCTCATCTGTGAAGTGGGTCGCTGGTTGCACTCCGGAGGGGTAGGGACCCTGGGCGCACAGGAGACCTCTGGGAGAAGGCGGGTCCCCAGCGGCGCCCAGCAGGCCCGGCGCTCTGTCTGGCAGGTACTCGGGCCGCACGGACGCGGGCTGCTTGTACGAGCTCACGGTGAGGCTGCTGTCGGAGCACGAGGACGTGCTGGCCGAGTTCAGCAGCGGCCAGGTGGCGGTTCCCCCGGACAGTGAGGACGGCTGGATGGAGGTGAACCGGGCGGGGGCGCCTGGGCGGGCGCGGGCGGGCGCAGGGGCGCGCTCCTGCAGAGAACCGAGCTGCGGCTGCAGGCGGGTCGCCGCGCAGGACCAGCCCTCGAGGCTGACGCCCTGCGTCCTCCCTAGATCTCCCACACCTTCACCGACTACGGACCAGGCGTCCGCTACGTCCGCTTCGAACACGCGGGACAGGACTCCGTCTATTGGAAGGGCTGGTTCGGGGCGCGAGTGACCAACAGCAGCGTGTGGGTGGAGCCCTGAGAGCCCCCTGCTGCTCCCCAGCCGCCCTGCCCCGCGGGGCGGAGGCCGGGGTGGACAAGCCTTAACTTAGTCGCCAGCACCTCGCCCAGCCGTGCCCACCTCGCCCCGCCGTGCGCGCCCCGCCGCTCTCCCAGCCCCACGCGGCGCCTTCGCTGGCTCACTTTCGCTTCTGTCGGCGGCGGCTAGTCGTCGCCGGCTGCTTCTAGGGTGTAAGATCCGAGGGGCGCGGGCCTGCTGCTGAACCCGCACCCAGCACCGTGCCTGCCACAAAAGGGGGTGCAGAATAAATATTGTTTGTCCAAGGAGGGAATGAATGAACAGCGGATGAATGGGCGCCTCTCCCTGCCCGTCCTCCTCCGTCTCCTGAGGCCCCGGCCCAGCTTGGAAAAATACTTGGTGGGGCTCCAGCTGCTCCGGTTTCCAGGGGCCCTTGGGCTGCTATGGAGCCTGGGCAGAGTGGCCGGACAAAGGCGGAATTGTGAGGCTCAGGAGGTGGCGAGCTGGGCCTGGCGCCTGACTGACACCCGAGCTGCCCAGAGGCCAGGACAGGGCGGGGGGGCTGCCCTCCAGGCCTCTGTGGGCAAAGCCATCATTCTTGGCCTTGCTGCACCTGCACCTACGCCCTTTTGGAAGACAGGGTGGGCTCTCCTGGGCCCAGGGACAGAGGAGAGTGGCTGGGGGTGGGAAGGGTGGCCTGGCTTCCCTGCCCCTTCATGGCCTCTTCAAGCTGTCCTTTCTGGCCCAGTGTGGGATTGGACAGGAGTCATTAGTCTCTGGTCTTGTGGTCATTTTCCAAGTCCTGTCCAGGGGCTGGCTCCTGTCTCCCAATTGGGGGAGGAGCGGTATGAAGTGTGTGCTAGGCTGTGGATCCTGGCCCAGCCTCTGGATCCAGCCTCCCAGCAGCTCTTGAACCCAGTGACATCCAAGGGCAGTGGGTGACTGGCTGGGGCCAGTGCAGCCAGTAGCACCTTCTAGACCCCAAAGGTGGATGGGAGTCTCAGCTCCCTACTTGGGTGGGGGGCTGTGGTTCAGCTCTGCCTTGACCCTGAGCCTAGCGCCACCTGCTGGTCGGGGCCTGGCAGGGCTCTGGTTGGCGGGCAGCCATAGGCCTTGGGCTCAACTCGCTGTCCCAATCCTGGAGCCCCAGCCTGGGCCAGGCCCTGAAGTTCAGACGTTCTGTTCCAGGAAGAACCAGCAACCTGGCAACATGGAAGATGGGCACTTGGGCAGGGATGTCAGCCTCAGGCTGAGAGGGGAGAAGGGCCTTGACCTCAGGGTCCAGGGGGAAGCCGAGCCCTTGGCCAAGGGAACCGCCATCCTGCCGTCCTCACTGGAGGATCCCCAGGTGTTAGGGAAAGCCTAACCCTAACCCTAACCCTCCCCACATGTGACCCTCCCAAGTTGCCAGTCACAAGGGACTAGGTCCTTGCCTGGGGCCCAGTGTGATGCGGGCGGGTGAAGGGAGATACTCCTGTGGT